GCGATTTCAAGCTTGCGCTTTATTATGCTAAAATTGAAAGGGCTACAAAACTGCATACACAAAATCTTTCTAAGAAATCTAATTTAAAAAATCGAAATTTTTATGAACGTTTTTCTAAGTTAAATTAATTTTTGTGAACTTTGTGCAAGCTTTAAAACTATTATTTATGCGGTTTCTGATACAGGTCGACCCATACTTTAAATGAAAATTATTATTATTTTATTTATTTTACTGCTATTATTTTACTTGCAACTGTATGTACATATGTATGATTACAAGAACAAGTTAAAGCGATGCACTTAAGCATTACTATATACACACAGTCACACACAGAGGTATTTTGCATACATTTTTTTACGGTATTAAAATTTTTTTGTTAATTTTTTAATAAAATATAGCTCATTATACAACAAAAACCATGTAAAAGAAAATTTCAAATACTGGCAAAAATTCAGAAAAATTTCATCAAAATTTCAAACTTTTTTTCAGAATTTTTACAAACAATTCGAGTATGCGGTTTTGTAATGCATTAAGTTTTAGCATACTGCGTACAGTGCAAGTTTGAAGTTGCTAAAAAATTTGTTATATGGAAGGAAATGATCAGCACCATCTGCAAAAGAAAGTATCAAAAATCAACAGAATTTTTTAACAACTTAAAATTGGCACTTTTTTATACTCCACTTTAAAAAATCATCAAAAATCAATTAAAAAAATATTTTAGACTCTTAAATTTGCGCTTTGTTTACTAAAATGAATGAGCTATAAAACTGCATACTCAAATTAAAAAAAAAAATAATTTTAATGAAAATTTGCTCCATTTACGATAAAGTTTGAAAATTTTATTTATATGCTTTTTGTTATGGAATGAGCTATTTTTTATAAAAAATTTACAATTAAAAACATTTTGAATATTAAAAAAAAATCGATGCAAAATACTTCTTTGAATGATTATGTAAAAATTGGTTATTTTACGCTTTACTTAATTTAAATTTTTTTTTTTTACTTTAAGTTCTTTTATTTTTTGTTTTGGTGTAAATTATATCGTAACTTTAAAACATAGTAATAGTAATTATTGTGGCTTATAAATACAATTTTATTAACTTTTTAACTTAATTCTTTGCACATTATGTACTCGAAAAAAAAATTATTGAATAACAAAAGTATATTTTTATTTATTTTAAGCCAGTTATGGTGTCGCGGATTTTCATGGTTTCACTTGTTTATTTAAAACATCAAATCTCAGAAAGTCAGAGTTTAAGATGGGATTGCCGCCAAATGGACAAATTATTCATACGCTGCTGATCATTTTGCATTAAAATTTTTTTTTTTTTATCTGCCACCACGCTACTAACTTCTACCACCTAAAACAGGCCTGTTTAAATAGCCAAATTCATTTAGCAACATTTTTACAGAAAAAAACTTCATGGAGAAAATAGAAATAATAAAGAAACTGCTACAAATTTCAATAGAAAAATGTATGCTGTCGACCAAAATGAACATTCGGATCTACGTAACCGACACTACCCAGATGAAAGTATAAAAAAGTAAGTAGTTCGAGAGGGCGACGTGATGGCCTCTGGTTTCACTTCTACAGTGAGGCGCTTCTACTCTCAATTCAAAAGCCTGCCATTAAACTAATAGGCCGATTACGGATGGCAGCCCAATTTCAGTTGCCTTTCCCGGGACTAAAATGGTATTACAGATGGCAATTGGTAACTGCACTTTTGTGGTTGTCGCAGAAATTTTTGTTGAGAAATTGTATTTCTTTTAGACTCAACTTTCAACTTTATAGTACTAAACTATAGTTGCTATTTCTAATATAAATTTTCATTTCAGTGGCGTTGCCCATCGGCAACCCAGCTGAGGTTGCGTTGCCATCGATGATCGACCCATGATTCGACCATTTCTGTTAGAATGCAACCGTGTGTGCCATACTCACACACACAGCTCACACGGAGTACAAACACCAAGCGCGTCCAAAAAATTCTATAATCGTAGATCCACAAGCACGCGTGCTAGAAAAAATTGGAGCTGAGTTACTTTGAACGGCTGGTATTACACTGCGATCTACGAATACAGGAGTAGATTATGTATTTATTTATTTATTTAAAAAAGGCGCAGACATAAGCACACACCTACGTAGATTAGACCGTCGCTTGCTTCGTGAATTATCGAGTTCCTTCTGTTTCATGATCTCCAATGTAATAATTAGGCTCAATTCAAGATTATTCGTCAGCTGAGCGTCGTTTAAGATATCTCTAATAAACCTTTCACCCAGATAATGGCCTAAGGAGATAGCAAAATGTCAATTTAAAAGATCTGCATTAATATATATATTTCTGGTGCTGCATATTTAACACCGATTCGTAATGCAAGCTTCATGACAATATTAATAAGAGTGCAGTCAGAAATGAGCCAAATGAAATTTCCACTTTCCCGGCTGAATACCCAAAAAGTACTTTTTGTCACTTTTCGGAAACCAATTAAGGAACTTGCTAAGGAGAAAAAAATGTTTTCTATGATACCTCGGATATCAAAATCGTGCAAGAGATTGCGCAGTATTTTCAATATTTCATAAAAACACAATTTAACGTTAAAAATGCCTTCTTATTTTTAGAATACCAAAAATTAAGAAGTAAAAAACAAAGTTTAGCCTCACATTTGTTTTCTAGTAAGAAATAGGCCTCAGAATTTTTTATGGTATATATATCGCACAAGAAAAATACAAAAAATATATACACACATACACCACAACCACAAAAGTCAACGTAAGGATAATTTTTGACAATGTATGTTTGCATAGAAATTTTAAAGTTTCTAATCATATCATATTTTTATAAAAGTTTTGGGAAAAGAAATAAAAATAAAAAAACTATTCATACATTATGAAAAATTTTCTGTACGCATACTTTTGTGGTTCACTGTATACATATGTACTTATGAAATGATTTCTCCAAAACTCATATACAATCAAAAAGTACTAACGATAACTTCAAAATTTAGTCCAAGATGTCACATTGAGGTAAACAAATTTTGATCGAATATGATTTTATAAGCGCGTCTAAAATACTACAAACACTTCGACCCTACATTGAGCGACTCCTACTAATTGTATATTAAAAAAATCAAATTAATTAGAAGAACCGGCTACTAATACTCTTATGGCCGATATTAAATAGTAGATTATAGCAGCGAGCAATATTTTTACTTGCTCGTGTTTCAGGACACGGTAGAAGTGGTTATTGAAAAGTAGTGATATGCCAAAAAAGTGCACCGAAAGAAATGTCCTCGAAAAGTCTAGATATTATAATGGCCAACAAAGTTTTGCAGAATTTTGCCGTAGATTAATCTGACATTTCTGTTATTCAATTGGTGCTAGTTTTCGAAATATTTGGGGGTAAAAGTGTCTAAAATGGTATTGTTTAATCTTTTTTTTTTAATTTTTTAGTAGAATATCGATGCAATGTGGAATCTTACGAACAGCATAAAAGGAAAACTTAAATGTGGCCCAAAAGATAAGAAATTAGATTACACAAACATTAGTCACAAAAACTATTTTTGTTTTATAAAAAGATTTTATTGAGAAGTGTGGCGAATTCAACCAGAATTGTAGTCCTATATTTTATAATATCCATACCGATTTTTTTAAGTTATCTTATTGAATGAGCATTTTGGAGTAGCTAACCAAAAGGTAAAAAATATATACATACATACATATCTGTGTTCATATGGAAAAGTAGCTTATGTCGAAAGGTTGGCTTTAGTATAATGCGGCATTCCTTTTATTCTTTAAACGACAAGGAATTTTTTGATGAGACTTAATAAGAATATTGACTTGCTAGTATCGGAACTATTTCTTGCGCGTTTATTTGCTAAAAGTAGTTCAACGGCTCAGCGCCAGCGAGTCATTCGGAATCGTATACTGCAAATGCCGATTTATATTAAAGTCAGCCTTTCGACATAAGCTACTTTTCCATACGAACACAGATATTCAAAAAATTTCAAAACATTTAACAGGTAAATTGAGCTACTAAAAGAGAACTAGTACAAAATTTAAAGAAATAAGGTTATTTTTTTTTTGTTTTAATTCTTTTGTTTAAGCAATCAATTTTTTCTACCTTAGTAGCTAAAAGTGCATTATATTCTACATTTATATATATCTTTTTATTTGAGTTCAAAAAAAAAAAATCCGTTTATTAACGCTTTAAATCCCAAATATCTCAAAAGCTAGAGCCAATTAAATAATTTGACGGCCAGATTCTGATTTTACGGTAAAAAAACCATATTAGGACACTGGCTGTACCTCGTGTAGTTATTAGAATTTTGTTGGGCTGTGTTACACAGCTGTTATCGCTTCTTGTCTATTAGCTGTTGCTTAAGCCGAAGAAGAAAGAAGAAATCACTGGTAGTCAGTACTGGTACGCTCCTTTCTGAATGGAAATTCTTTTGCTTGTAAAGATTTTCAACACCCAAGATGTGGTGACTTTTTTTTAATCCAAAATCCTAAATGGGGATACAATTTACTCTGCCATATGAAATCGATTTGATATCCACTAAAAGCGCTTTAGATTTGTTGATGAGACATAAGACGGTGTGTGTGCCGACGTTTAGAGCAAAGCCTAATTTCGTTATATCAATATGCAACTATGCAATATGAGAACTCTGGAGCCAGTTCAATATTTTTCTCCGAGTTGCTTTATGGTGCGCTTGATAACCATGCCGTTTTTCATTTATTATATTTTTGCATTTTTGGTATTGACCTTTCGTACTCGATAGGCTGTGTCTTCTAAAACCGACGGTCATCCCACGGATACGAGTATGAGAGTAGGAAATTTAGTATTTTTTAGATTTTTATTTGTAACCATTTATCATTACATTTGGATGACCCCTCTTACATAGTATGTAATTATAAAATACATAAAGCTTGCAACTATTGTGTAATTAAATTAAACATTTTGCGAAACTATTATGATACAACATTTTTTCGTTTTTTTTTTTTGTTTTTTTTTACAATTGAAAAGAGCAGTTTATTTCTGTACACAATGCACGTAAAACATAGGCATGTATGTACTATGTCTATAAAACATATTGTGTTCGGCTTAAGCTTAATTTACAATACAAATTGAAACTTATGTATATTGGTTTGAAATTGGTATGTACGGATGTAAGTAAGTAACCATGTATGTATGTATGCATGTATGTATGCGCTTGTTTTTTTAATAATACATATCTGTATATATAGATATATGATTAATAAAGTCTGCAAGGTTTATGTAAGTATGTAGTATATTTTGGTTGTTTCTTCATTTTTTTTTTCTTGTTTTGAATGCCATACAATACAATGCGTGAATTGGGTTTATATGTAATTGCTTTTTCTCCTACAAATACAGTCGCATGTACATACATATATGTTAATGTGCTTCAGAGTTTCTTTTTTTACAAATCTATGCATAAATTGAGTTGTTTTTGCTTTTCTATGCAACAGCTTGTCCGAGATGTGCTCGCGTATATTTCGCATAGCATTTTTATTTTCCTTTTTTTTCAAAAGTTCTTTCTCTTCCTGAAGGACTGTAGTTTTTTGTAATATAGTATTGTTTTTTTTATACATTCGTCGTCATTATCATAGTTATTATCGGCATTTATAGCTTGTATTCAGCGGCGTCGTTACATTTTTGTAATTTTTAATTGTGATTTTATTTCTCTCTCATGATTATTAGAGCAGTTGGCAGCAGTGAGATTTGGTTTTTGGCGGCTGTCGCACATCGGACTGACGTTGCTTCTTTCGTGATGAAATATCCCTGATTAGATCATAAAATACCTGCGCGCAATAAAAAGAAAATATACGACTTTAGTAAAAGTGTTTCAAATAAATTTTTGTGGCTTGTGGCATGTCAGTAGGTAAAATGAAAATGAGTTTAGTATTTTGTTTTTTTGTTGAACAAAATAAAGTAACTTGAAATGCAATACTATCAAATACATACTACTCCTTAATAAACATGTATACAAAATGATGAAATAATAGATGTTTAGAAAAGAAACAAAAAATTCAAAGGAAATAAAAAATGTACACAGCTATAAATAAAACCAAAAACCTTAGAGAAAACAGTAGTGGGATTAGCACAAAAGGATACGATAGTAGGATTGATTGAGAGATGGAAGGAGATGCCCCTTTTTAATATGAAAATAAGTGTATTTAATATGATTTTAATCCAATCTGCTAAGCAAGCGTTAATAACTTATACACAGCTACTTGGTATTTGTAAGCAAATATGAAATATTACAGGTAAGTTTTTACAAATTCGTATTTTAGTAAATATTACAACGCCTTCCTGAGCCTTCTTCCTGTAGTCACAAATGCAAAAATGGCTTGTGCATTCAGCCTAGAACTATGCACCATTTATTTCATTATCGACTTTCGGTCTGATTCGCACGCCAGTGACAAACTTCATTGCATGACTATTGTCTTAACTACTGCGTCCAAAACTATGGCGCAAAAACTGGATAAAATCCACGCCCCACTAATGACAACTCTCATTGTTACTGCTACGATCTACCGAGTAAGTGACAACGACGAATGTATTCTGCTTTTTTCAAAGGCGCTCGATATCATTTAAAGCAGGTCGTATGCATTCAATGAGCAAGAGACTAACAATGGAAATGCTCCTCCGAATTAAGATAATCAGGTTTCGCACAATAAATTGCGTTTTTTCTCCCCACTTAGTGGAATAAGATCGCAAAATTTATTGAATCTTTCCTGATGGAGATGCTCGTATTAACGGGTAACAGAACATATGTATATACCTATATCCACCAATTTTGGATTCCAGTATAATAGTTTCAAAGAGAAAACGCCCAGTTCGCTGAGGTCAGTCCAAAGGGGGAGGTCAGTCGGGGCAGCTGAAGCTCTTCCTCTGCTACAGATGGTGATTGCATTGAATGCACTGCATTCCGATTATGACATTCACATATATGTTCTCTGCCGAGTCCGAAGGTTGTTTATGATGCAATGTGCATCGAGGCATGGTTGTCCGTAGTGTAGTGTTCTGACAGGTTCCACTACTAACCTACTAGTACCCTGCGAGAATATTGTCGCACAGTAGTTTAGAACAGGCCCGTTAGTCACTTTGGACGTATGTATGTATTTAGAAGCAGTCAGCTTCAAAAATATACATACATACCGTGACGTTTTCACGATTTTATTTATTTATATTTTCCATACCAAATTTTTCTTATTTTTTTTTTATAAAAAATATAGTTCATTCAGCAGCAAAAACCAATGGAATCAATTCTTTTTTTTAATGTCATACAGAACTCGAAAAAATGCAAGAAATACTAAGACATTTTCAGTGAAATTTTAAATTTTTCAATTTGATATCTTGGAAAATTTTTGAGTATGCAGTTTTATAGCCCATTCAATTTTAATACAGTGCAAATTTCAAGTTCCGACAAATTACCCTTGAATTTCTTTGCCGAGCGTGTTGCTTATTTTCTTCCACATAACGCCTGAACACAATTATTTTTATTTTTCTTTTATTACGCAATGCCCTCAGCGAAAAAAAAAAAATCTCTACAATCAAAGGTACGTACAAATATAATGGGCTACAAAACTGCATACTCAACATTTTTCTATGAAATCGAATCGAAAATTTAAAATTCCTTGGTATTTCTTGCATTTTCTCCCAAGTTTTGTATGCAGTTAAAGAAATTGACTATTGTGGTTTTCCCTGTTGAGTATCCTACATTTGTATAAAAAAGGGAAACATTTGGTATAGAAAATATAAATAAATAAAATCGACAAAACGGGTGGGTATGCATATTTTTGACGCAGTGAAGAAGTGAGAAAGTTCCAAAGACTAAGCAGCTTAAACCAACGGATCCCAACCTTATATAGTTGCTGAGGAACAGAACAATAAATCTTGTTTATATTTGATTCATATAATCTATGTACATTATTTAATACAATCTACATATGTGCTACATAATCACGATTATTTGACTACCTCAGGTCCAACTGAATAATTATTTTCCGTTAAAAAAAGCGCTCACTTTTTTATTCACTATTTTAGCAGCTTCTGACTGATCACATTGCATCGGCATTGAGCGATTGAGCAATAGCATCTTAAAGAAATTTAAAACGAGCTAGTAGTTATTAGTAGGTTAGTCATGCATGCAAAATACTTAAATGTTTCTTACAACTTATAATACGAAATTCACACAAAACAAAAATAAAAATAAAGCAATTCAAGCAACTTAGATCAATAAAAGGCCAACTAAATTTAAAAAAAGCGACTAAAACGCAATTGGTATTTCTACAATTTACAAATTAGTAGGTAGGTAAAAGCGTTTATGTCCAAGCAACCAGAATAAACTTCAAAAGGTTTCAAACGAATTTCATTTGATATTACAAAAGAAAAAAAACAGGAAGAAGAGGTGGTACATACTACAAACAATTTTCTCAGTACATATTTCGATTAGGATTTCTGTAGTTACACATTTCATATGTATATCAGCTAGGTATTGTTATCAATTCGATGTGATGTCTTTGTGGATGGGGAAAGTACGAGTTAGGGGCTTTTATTTTGCTTTGTTCGCTTCTTTACCATTGTATTTGTTCATGAGTGTATTTGTTTTTGTTTTCGCATTTTTCTGTTTTTTTTTTGTTTGTTTAATTTTTTTTATTATTGGCTTAAAGTCTGGCTTATGCACCTAGAAATACGCCTAAAGTAGTGTACACTTAAGTCTCCGCTTCTTGCATCTGTCTTTAGCACGCCCACTAGTCGCTTTCGAATCTTCGGTTTTGCGGGATCTTATTTCGCGCATCAAATCAAAAAATACCTGCATGAGACGAAGAAAAGAGAGCAGAGAGGAAAAGAGAAGAAAACAACGTTTATAGAGAGAAGCACACAATTCGTTATGCGTATTGTTTTTGTTACTTATTTTGTTTCTTATTTTTGTTCGTTTATTCTTACAGTAAGCGATAAATTACGGCAAACAAAATTGAAAATTTCTAAACAAAATATATAAACTATGCAAGGCTACTGCAAAATAAATGTAAGAATACTTGAAAAAAAAACCAAAACAAAAAAAGATTTTGCCAATTGGTTGTGCTGTTGTTGAAAATTAAGATGGTGGGAGAAATTAATTCAACCGTTTTTGTGGTGTTTGGAAATAATACTTTGTTTCTATGGTTTTTTAATTAGCTCATATTATATTTAACTTTGTTGTTGTTCTAGCCAACTCATTTGCTCTTCACCTGCAAGGCACATCTGTAATAATTTCTCTTGATACTCCCCTAAATAGCCTTGATCATTGAACCAAAACTATATATATGTGTACTACTTTTACTCTCAACACAGTATACTATTTGACGACCACTTATGTATGTATGTGTGGCATTTTCAACCGAACCCACTTATGGCACAGGGAAGCTTATGCAGGCTAAGCGGTAAATGTTGGATGTTCGTTCTTCATATCACCTTAAGAAATTGAGAAAATCTTGTATGACCGCGCAAAATACCAATGAATAAGAATGGGTCTACCGACAGGAGCATAGCTGAACCGTTGATCCCAGGCCTCGATATGTAGCATCTGATGGGTCTTCCACGTTGGAACCGCATACTTAAGTTTGTCGAAGTCCGTGTCTTAGCGATATCGCCCAATATATCTGCAGGGATTTAGATTAAGCTACTATCGTTGTTGTCTAGCTGGAATAATGGTAGGACTAGGAAGCGCGAGGTTTCAATGTGGTTCAGGCCAAAGTTATATTGGCTGAGTCAATTTTGCGTAGACAGTTGAAGAAAAGGTTTGTATTGTAAGTGGTTTCCTTACAAGCTGGACAAGTCTTTGTTCTGAGCCTATTATGGATAGCTCTACTTAACCAGAGAAGGTATCCTTTTTCTTATAAAAAGTGGTCCACTTTAGTGAGTGAAATTTTAAATTTTCTTGGATGGAATTTCTTTATACTTTCTAGACGTTCATAAAAAGCCAAGTTAATGTACTGTTGCACCTGATAGTTTTCGAAAAACCCCAAATGTTATCAAAAATCCTGAAAAATTTCCGATTTATAAAACACGAAGAATCCCGGAAAAATTCTGAACTGTCCCGACAAAAAATTTTGTACGATCTCAAAAATTCCTTAACAATCCGAAGAAAGAATCGCGACATTTCAAAACACCGTTGGTACTAAAACCTTGAAAAATACAATGACCTAAAAAAAAACAAAAAAAAAAAACGCGAAAAATTTCAAGAAATTCAAAAATCTTTCGGGAAAGTTCGCGACAAAATATTCAGAACTATGCCGAGATAATTTTAAAGACTCAATAAAATTTCTAAAGTTTCGCAACATTTAAATTTTGTATAGTCGTAAAAAATCAAAAATTACTGATTTCTGCTGAAATTACAGGGAACTTTTGGTTTAAAATTAAAAAATATATTTTTGGTTTAAAATCTAAAAAATAGTAAGTATGATATAGTGACGCAGGTCTCACGAGCCAGCTCAAGGTTTGCATATTTTAAGGTGGTGCAAGGCTGGTTGACCTTCGATTATGGCATACACGGGCACAAGTTTATGAATATGGCGAAGAGACGTTCAGAATACACCAAGCACAAGCGTCTTACTGAGTATAGTATATATTTTGTCCATCAATTCGCGGCATATTTACCACACTGTTCAGATCTGCAACGTCTTACACTCTGTCCTGTGTTTTTTCGCCGGAAAAATGGACGAACGACCTGAATTCTCTGTTTAATCACGAATTAACTAAGAGTTTAAGGTCGGCTGAGACCACAGAACATTTCTATTCTCATAGAAACTGTTGGAAATTATGCTCTCAAGTCAATCGAGACTTCGTGCTGCCTACAATTCAACAATCATCTGGTTTACAATATTATCCGCAACCATACTCCTTGACTCCTTGGAAGTGATCATCCTCTTTGAGCGGCCCTTAAAATGTTTTTTTGTTTTTCAAGACGTATGCTGACGCAGGTCGATATTACTACCACCGATGCCTCGGTAATAGTGGGTCTTTTGAAGAAGATTTTCATTTGTTTTTGAGATGCTTTAACGAATTTCAAACAGGCATAGCTAGGGCGCCAGCAAACATATTTAGTAATTTCGGCTAGTTTATAATCTCTTGAGAATACTATGCAAGACGAAAATCTAAAACTTTGAAATATAAAATTAGTAAAATTTTCCTTTTCAGATTTCGATCACCCAAACTGCAAACTTTATATGTAGGATCTTAAGCACATATGTGTGTGAAGACGAGTTTACCATGGCCTATTCGAGAGTCCTGGAAACATAAATATAAAAATAACCCATTTCGCGAAACAACTGCCGCGGCGTTGTTAAGCTACCAATTTTTCGTTTAATTGCAATGTATAATCTAGTCTAATTCTTAAATTTCTAGCCTCAAATGGCAAAGCTGTTATAAGTGTAAATGAGAAATGTTTTTTGAGTATAAAAAGTGAAAACTAAACATAAACTAATCTGTATGGTGTTCTGAATCGTCGGTGCAATCGAGTTGTAGGACAACGACAAAGAAAATGAGAGCAACAAATGGTTATTTATTATGGCTATGCCGGTGACTACAAATACATATGCACGTACGTAACTTTCATATTTATTATTTTTGTGTTATTTTAAGCCTACGTTTACACATAGCTTAGTACAAAATGCGCGCATGTGCTATCGCGTATTGTGTCTTTGTGTGAATGTAATTTGCACTACAACAAACAAATGCAAATTAAAAATTAATGAATAAATAACAATTAATGAAATAGTACAACATAAAAAGGACAACAACAAAAGGGCGCATATAAATACAATTGGCAATTGCGAGAAAGCACAATGATTGGCAAACGATTTACATGTATGTATATACTTTTTTTATTTAATAATTTTGCAATATTGTTTTTGCGCATAAAGAAGGGGGTCAAAGGAAATTTCGCAAATATGTGCGTATGTATATACGCTATAAAAAGGAGGTGGGGCAACAACTGTGAACTGCAGTCATGTGAAAATTAAAGGAAAAGTGTAAATCAATGGAGTGAAATAAAACGTAGGTGACAAGAAATTAAAAGAAGAACTACTACAAATAAACGCAGCACAGCAAAATGACGTAGTTGCGTAGTTTTTTCTTTAGAGTTGCAAGACAACGTCAATTGATTGCTAAGGAACCTATTTTTTATTTGCACATACACACTATTCGCAAACATCACACTACGAAGTGCTTACCTTGTCTACGTTTTCACGCGTTTTAGCGGAGGTCTCCACATAGGGCACCTGCCATTGTTGGGCGCGTGCCTGGCATTCGTTTAGCGGCACTTTACGTTTGTCGCTCAAATCGCATTTGTTACCCACCAACAGGAACGGTATGCTTTCGTCATTTTTCACACGTAATATTTGTTCCCTGGAAAAGTAAAATTGAATTTAGTATATTAATTTTAATGCTTAGTAAATTAAAAATAAAATAAGATAAAACAAAATAAAATAAAATAAAGTAAAATAAAATAAAATAAAATAAAATAAAATAAAATAAAATAAATTAAGGGAAATGATATGAAATAAATAAAAATAACTTGGAAAGATATAACGAAATAAAATAAAATTCAATTCAATTCAATAAAATAAAATTAAGTTAAGTTTAATGAAAACAATTTATTAAATAATATTATGTTATAATAATAAGTTAAATTTTAGTAAAAAATGTTAACAATGTACTAAAATTAAAATTAAAATAAAAGCAATTTTAATGCATTTTTTAACATGGACAGATTCGAAATTTATTAGAACGATACTACTGCATTTGGCGAAGCAATGCTCTTCTACCAGGACAACCCAGCAAAAAAATTTTTACCCCAGAAGTTAACAAGAAATCATGAAAAAATATCAATCGCTTCACTTTAATTTCTAGAATGCATTGATTTAGCCATCTCATTGGCGGGAATGTCTCGCTAGTTTACTATTGAGAAGCTAACATGCATAAATATTCCTCTTTGTCCTTTTTTCCTCTTTTGAATAGTGAACTAAAGAAGCGAAAGGCATTTTATCTTCATTTGCTTTGTGTACTTGTTGAAAAATATTGAATATCTAAACCCGGTAATAATCCAGGGATTATATAAACGAGATCTCGAAAATCCCTGGGTCATAAAAATCGAAAAAATTAACATCCCTAGTGTGTACGCTCTTTAAGCAAACCTCAAAATTTTAAACTTTTTTCATGCAACATAAATAGCGTTTCCCACNGTAAAAATCGAAAAAATGAACATCCCTAGTGTGTACGCTCTTTAAGCAAACCTCAAAATTTAACGCATACCGGATAAACTTTTTTCATGCAACATAAATAGCGTTTCCCACTCTATGTAAGCTANATAAAAATCGAAAAAATTAACATCCCTAGTGTGTACGCTCTTTAAGCAAACCTCAAAATTTTAAACTTTTTTCATGCAACATAAATAGCGTTTCCCACTCTATGTAAGCTATGATGCATTTTATGGTATTGTATCAATAGAAAATGATTCATTGACCATGGATAAAGTACTAGATACAGGCAACACCAAAGCATAACTGAACCCCAGCCAAAATCAACTAGCGTTTATGTGTGAACACAAATATTTGTTTGACGTCTTTTTTTTTGTAATCAACCGCAATTTATCGAGAACTGACTCATGTGGCCAATGAGCTATGGAAATTCTAAAAAAAAACCAACAACACTCGTAGTTTTATAAGTACTTGAAATTTCAAACGTTTTATTTTTTTCGCAGTCAATTAAATCCACCATGTGAACACGGCCGACTGTCAGTAAAGAGACTTACGTACATATATGTATGTTAGATTGCAAACGCAAAAACCACTTCGAGACAACAGCAAAGCGGCAAAAACGGCCGACAATGCGAATGTGGATATTAGAAGTAAAAAATAATAAAAATAAAAATAAAAGAAAATCTAAAAGAGCCTATACAGCTGGAAGCAGTAGCAGCAACAGCAGGAGGTACATATACGCCCAATCTCAAGTTTATATTTTAGACAGCAATCACAAGTCGACAGCAAACCGGCCGATAGATTCAATTGTACAAACATACCTATCTACATAGGTGTGTAGTTGCATGCACACGCACGTCGGATGCCAGTTTTATTTATTGTTTGTTTAGTTTTTGTAGAATTTTCGCTTTCCTTTTTGCTATACGCGTTTTGTTTTGTCTATATTTGTGGAAAAGCGTGTTAGATATTTGGAAAATCGCACGACTACATAAAATATTCAATGAAAACTAAGTGTGGCTCAGTTAGGTGTTGGCATTATGGCGAACGCAAAAAAGAAAAAAATACTTGCCATATTGCCAGTTTAAATGTATGTATGTATGTGCATTCAAAATACTCCCTGTATTTAAAATGGTGGGGTCTTAAAAAACTAGATCAGTATTATCGATAAATTTCACGGAAGTGTCTCCGCGCTAATGTAAAATTATTACATCGCTTTACAGTGGGGAAGTTGGGGCAGGCAATGGCAAACCTCCGAGTGTATTTCTGCCATGAAAGCTTCTCTTAAAATCCATTTTCCGTTCGGAAGCGGAGTAAAAATATATATCCATTTGTGTAACAACATTAAGGCGCACTACACAAGTTGGAATAAGAGCTCCGCCACACACTTAGCAAAAAATGTAAGCGCCAAAATAATATTATTACTTATTATGTATGTAAACGATTACGCGAGGAAAGAGTGCCAAACGAGAGTTGAGGAACCAAGTCCAACCATACTAGCTCCTCTGATAATCCTGGGCTCGAATCGACACACACGATATGCAGATGTGTGAACTCGCGGTTTTAGGGGCTGTTACCATCGACCGCTACACCACTGAATAACTGAAAAACCAAATTTCTTTATGGCTGGTGGGCGTGGCAGTTTGTCGATTTTGACTATCTTTTAGATTTTAAATTTTATGTCTAAAGCTAAGGTACCGAATTTTAATAAAATGTTGCAGAATTTACTATTTCCCCACTCTATATCGTTATTACCACGTTTGGTCGCAATTTTTGTGAGGAATTTACTTTGTGCGCCACTCCCAAACGGCGGTCTATGAAACGCTTTTCCATAGCAAAATAACATCGAGGTTATTCAAATTTCTCACTACTATAATGGGTATTTAGCTGGGTCTGGACCATACCGAGTGTAAGTGCGCTCCTCTAACCACGCAGCTACTTACTACAGTTATGCAGTTTTAAAAATAATGATAAACCTGGCTATTGGTCAAGCGTCAATTAATTTTTTAAGCATATTTTTCTAGGTTATGGACCGGTTGTTGGGTTATTTAATCAACGGTCTAAAAGTTACACACATACACTATTACTAGCTCAAACAGTTACATTTGTAACTGACGAATTTATACAAAAAAAAAAAAAAAAAAAACGTACATTATGTATACGTATGTGCATATATAGTTGCATATTTAGGAATATAAATCATCCACCTCAAACAACAGAATGGCTCAAACAGAGGGTGGAGCGAATTAAAGTATCCTTTTATGACTCGCTAGAGTCATTTTAAATGTAGTATGTACATAACTTTCAGCCTAATGGCCTCTTTTGAACCCTATCAAGAATTTTCACCTTCTCTTATAGCAAATACATACATTTATACATATATAATGCTTTCTCATAAGTAGCGATCACTTATGTATGCATGTACTTACATATGTGTCGCTTGAAGTTATGTACCTGTTGCCATATTTTCGAAAGTAGCAAGTCGTTTCTGTGGCAACCTTTCCTGGTAGTAAGGAATAAACTTACGTCATATGTCCCTTTACACACCACCACCCACACTTTGTGACAGGTGGAAAAACATGTCTAATTGAAGAGTAAATTACATACAAAAGACCAAACAAACATGTAAACGTGCTTTATTGCGTATGCATATATGTAAGTGATGCACCTGCCGCTCAGTACTAAGCGCTTAGATATATGTATGTTTTTCACAGAGTTTGTTAACTTTGACTGAAGGGCGCGTCAAGTTGACGCCGCAGTATTGTGGATCAATAAGGAATGCGCTTCAGACGTATGTACAACAGATGTATGTATGTATGTATGCGTTTTCATATGCGGAAGTTATGCAAACATTTGACGTGTTGTTTACGTGACATGCCGCCATTAAGGTCGAAGCCGTCAATCTGCCTGCCTACAAGGCTTTTCGTCCTGTCACTGACTTTGGCCTTTTGCTGGTGCTGCCGTTTTATATGCTTCATAGCAGTTTTATGGCTTTAAAGGTGTGGTGCCTTTTTGGTATCGTTAAGAAAAAATTGACTCACTGGAGTAAATAATGAGGCCAATAGCAGATTGGTGGTACATCGTAGGATAAAAAAAAATGTCATTAAGGCCAAATATTTTAAAAATCATTCAAGAATACAGTAAAATATGATCAATTAGGTAAAGCATTATTCATCCCACCCAGGATTTTTCGACCGATTTCGTTCTACAAATTTCATTGTTAAAGATGTACCTACTCTAGTCGAACAATCACTGCAAAAGAAGAAAAAATCGAGGCCCAACTCCTAGAGCATCTTGCTGCATTTCTGGGATTGGTCAAACATTTGATTCTGAACTCTAAAGTCAGCAATTCACCATTTACAGCAATCGATTAAAAGAACTGAACAGAAAAGGTATTGTGTTCCACCATAACAAGATCAGAAAAAATAGTGGTTGTAATAAAATGAATATAAGAAAAAAAAAATTTAATTTGTTCAAAAATTTTACGCATTTTTTTCGATAACCGATTCGCAATTTTGAATAAGATATTAGCATATCAAGACTACTAGAGAACTAATTGATGCGTTTTAATAACATTCCGACGGGCTAAACTATACAGACTTCTTTCCGATAAGATATATCAAAATAAGCACAATCCCACGGACCGTCCTTCAAGCGATTGATGGTCGATTTTTCGAGAGATTTTAAAATGTATAAAAGTTTGCTAACGCCTGGCAGAAAATAAGATTTCAATTGCAGCTCGTTTCCAGGAAGCGGCTATTGCTTTTGCTATTTTTTTTTTCTTTTTTTTTTGCTCTTTGCTATTGCAGAAAGTTGAACTTTGACAGAGTCAGACTAATCCGCACAGCCAGGATATGTGCCCTCAATGTGGGAACGGCCATCTCCAAAACCTTTTTTTTTTTATTTTACTTTATTTAATTTTATTCTATTGTCATTTTTTATTTTATTATTTATATGACTGCTGTATGTCCGGCCACAATTTTGAGCAGATCAACTGTGCCGGTAATCCGGATATACGGTTACCGTCTGTCTATGCATTAAGAAAAAAATTCTCTCCCAAATAGAGAAACGTGAAAATTTCTGTACGATGTTTCGTTTCTAAATAAGTCCAAAAATTTTCTTTGAGTAGAATTATAATTATTTCGTATGTTTCGGAGCAGTAAAAATTTAGCGCCATTTGTTAAGTCATTTAAGTAAAACCCGTTAAATTGCATAAAGAACTAATACCAAAAATTTCGGATAATTAATTTTGACCTCAAAAAGTTGCCACTTGTTTCAACGCTTGCACTAACTTAATCAACATAGTATTTTCATCGTTTATATGTATGTATATAATAACACTTACGAATTGTAGACTTTGCATAAATTTCCAAGCTAATTTCTCCTGACCTACATATGTATGTAAATTCTTAACCAAAGTTAAAAAAAGGTGATTTCGCACGAAAACCAATAAGAAATCGTTAAGAAAAAATTATTGTATGTATAGAAAATTTAATGATTCTGAAAGTAACCGCCGACATGCACCGCAAATCATAAAGTCAAAATTACAGCTATTTTAACAACAAAAACGTCACAGAAAAAACACTAAAGCTGAAATAATAATAACAACAATAAAATGACATTCTCCCCAACACATTTCACTAATTCGCCGAATGCAATTTGGCCAACAAATAATAGCACAATGCTAAATGAAAGCCGATAGCTGATAGCTAATGGCGAATTGTATGCACATATCCACAGATGCTAGTGGCCGAAAGTTGATTGGGATTTAAGAATACAAAACTAGTATTAACAGTGTGGCCAGATGTTCACGAAAACCGAAGCTAAACTGGTTTTGAAAAAAGGTAAGAAAAAGTTATATCCTATGAAAAATTAAGTTAAAATAAGTGAATATAATCATAACTTAAAAACTCTTTAGCAACTCGACAAGTTTGGCGAAACGGATTATTATTTTCTACACTGATAGCTTAAAGCAATTTTCTTTGTACTATTTTTTATAGACCTACAAAGAGTAAAGAAATTATTTTCTCAAAGAAATGTCACTTTGCTCTGCCATTGTAATTTTTGAACGGTAGACGATAGGTTTTGAATTATTAAAGATTTTCAGTATGACAACTACTTATTTTTATTAGTTCCGGCCCGAATTTTGTTATGAATATCGTAATTAAAAAAGGTCAGTAAAAACCACGAAATTAGACCTAAAGTTCCAGGACTAAGTATGGCATAAAATTAAATGCTAAATCTTACTTAAAAGAGGATAGCCGGGTCACACTAACTGTTAATGCCGGCAAATGTGCTTACATATTTATATAGGAGTCCATTTATTTAGCTACATATGTATGTACATAAATATGTACTCACCTGAATTCTTGTGTTGCTTGGAAGCTTTCGTCGTCTGTGATTGAGAAGACACAGAGGAAACCCTCACCACTGCGAAAATAATTATCTCTGATGGCAGCGTAATCCTCCTGTCCGGCAGTATCCAATATATCTATTTGTACTTCTTCGCCATCTAAAACGACCTGAAAAGTACAAAGTTTTTTTTTTTATGCGGAAACAAATTATTGGGTATGCAAATTTGAGCATTTAATTTCAAATTAAATTTTGTAGCTTTTCTTTCAAACCTTTTTCCTATAACTATCTGCTTTGGTTGGTTCGTAATCTTCCACGAATTCGTCGTACATGAATTGTAGTGTTAATGCTGATTTGCCAACACCGCCACTGCCCACCATTATCACTTTGTGGAGCGCGGGTCCGACTGTAGGTTTTTTACTCATTTTGTTGGAAGGTTGGCTATTGCTGTTGCTGTTGTTGTTATAACGAGTTGTTTTTTTTTTTTTTAAGTTGAGCTTCCTTTGGTTTTCCTATGCCTTACTTGCCTTTCTGCTTGCTCCTTTTTTTATTTAGTAGCCAGGAAAATTTTATTGGTAGGCTCTATCTGCCTCTTTTTACCTGCAAAATAAGTTGAAAAAAATGACTTTTTTTAGAATTCTTCAAAACACGCAGAAAAACATGGAGAAAAGTGAAAATCGTAAAAAAACAAGTAAGAAAGTCTAAGTTCGGGCGGAGCCGAACATTAAATACCCGGCGCAAGTATTAAATATATGTTGTTTCACCCTTCCGAAACCTTCCGCTAGATGGTAAGCCGAGGTGTATCAATTTTGAGTAAATTAGCGTCCTTCAATTTCGAAATATTGAAGTTTCAAGCATTTCTTAAATTTACCGTTATATGAGAATCGGCCGTTATTTTAGTCCGATTTCAATAATTTTCAACGTTTTGCTTACACGTGGCAAGTACAATAACCATACCGAGTTTGGTACAAATTGGTAGAACGGTTACCGAGATACATATATGTGATCATAAGTGGGCGGTGCCACGCCCATTTTCCAAAATTTTACCATAAACGTATTTCTTGGTAAAGAATTGTTGCAAGCATCAATTTTGAATAAATTAGCTTCAATATTTACTGATTTATCGAAGATTTTGTATTTCTCTAAATTACCGTTATATGGGATGTGGGCGTGGTTATTGTCCGATTTTAAAAAGTTTCGGCGATTTTTTATGCTGTGCCAAGGCCAACAACTGTGCCAAGTTTGGAAGAAATTGGTGCAGCGGTTACCAAGATATACACATGTAACCATAAGTGGGCGTGGCTACGCCCATTTTCCAAAAATTTATAATATTCTTATTTTTCGTCTAAAAATTATTGTAAATATCAATTTTGAGTGAATTATCTTCAGTAGTTACTAAAATATCGCAGTTTTCGTATTTCTGGAAATTACCGTTATATGGGAAGTGGGCGTGGTTAAAGTCCGATTTCGCCCATTTTCAATACCAACCTACCTTGGATTAAGGGAAACCTACATACCAAATTTCGTTGAGATATCTCAATTTTTGCTCGAGTTATCGTGTACACGGACAGACGGACAGACGGACAGACGGACAGACGGACGGACAGACAGACATGGCTTAATCGATTTCTTTTTTCATCCTGATCATTTATGTATACATTTGTCTATATCTATCTCGATTCGTTTTGGCTGTTACAAACAACCGTTATGTGAACAAAATTAATATACCCTTGTGCACAAGTGCGCTCGGGTATAAAAATGTTGCCTATTGCCATTAAAAAAATCGCGTTTTTCGCAGATTATCAACGTAAATGGCTGCTGGACAAGGAAATGCACACATCAGCAGCGGCGCAGCTGCAGCTACACTGTCACCTTTTTAGATAATTTGTATAAGCAATCTGGTATCTGACAGTCAGCTGGGCAGGAAACCGTAAAAGAAAATTGTGCCGGTATGTGACGTGTAAATCCTCGTTATTAAGATTTTTTAAGTAGTTGGTCGTTCAATGCCTTTGTGTGTACATATATATTTTATCTTTCTCAGTTAAATGGTGTAAAATATTTAACTAGTTCGTATTTATAATATTTACATACATACATTCAGAGCTGAAAATTTTTAAAGGCTGCGTGGTCAGATCAATTTTGTGATTGGCTTTCTGTCGATTTTGAACACAAAAGCAAAGGAAGATCCACATTAAGGCTACTTTCAAATAATAAAAAACACACCGATTCAACAAAGTTTGGACGAGTGGCGAAAAATTTAAAAAGTAAATTTGGACGTAATAAGATGAAAGATATACGGGAGTGTGAGGAACTTGAAATGCTGGCAGACAGGAAAAATTTTTCGAAAATTTTGCCAAAGAGTTAGAGGGAAGGTTTCAAGACCAGGGTGATCTAGTAACCCATGTCCAAAACGTACTTAAATTATGGAGACAACACTTTTCCATCCTATTGAAGCATAGATAATGACAATATCCGATGAGGCGGCTTTTGGAGTATTCGAGAAAAAGATTTTGCGGAAGATTTAAGAGCCTTTACGCGTTAACGACGGCAAGGCGAGTAACACGGACGACGGAACGATGAGCTGTATGAGCTTTACAACGAATGGACATAGGGCAGCGAATTAAAATACAGCGGCTCCGCTGGCTTGACCATGTCTTTCGAATGAACATAGACTCTCCAGGCCCTGGAGGAACCGCAGAGGAAGAGGGAAAAACCAAGTGGAAAAGGACTTGGCTCTACGTGGCATTTGCAAATGGCGTCAGTTGGCACAGAACAGAAACGATTGGTGTGCTTTGTTGAGCTCGGCCAAGATCGCGTAGGCGGCTACAGCGCCAAACAAGATCAATTCCTTTCAAAATTGATATAGGAAAAATACTTCCAGAGTTGACTTTAATATATTTAAGTGTGTTGACGAGCAACTTTTGAGCTTGATAAGCTCAGTGAAACAATTGTTACAATTGCATCCTCGGAATCGCTTGCCCTCGATCCTCTCGAACGGGTAGTATTACAGGCCAACCAGCGATATTTTCATAATTTTAATCAATCCACCTATTACTTAATACACACTAAAAGCAAAAGTAGCCTGACCGGAATACCGCTAACAAATCAATAGCACCAACTTTGGAAGTCCATAAGCAATCAATACGCAACTTGTTTGAATAACTGGTGTATTTATGTATGTATGTATGTTTACCATGATATGGGGCAAATGCAACTTAAATGAAATTGGACGTGTTGTTATTTAACAACGGTAGCTAAATTGATATCTGAATATACACAAATATTTATGTTTGACTGCATGTATGCGAAATTGGTGATGGCATTTCAATAGATGGTTGGGGTGTGGAGTGCAGGGTTCGGACTACTGCAGCCTGATTTAGGAGTAAATTCCTAAAACAATCGGAATAAAAAAAATTTTCGAAGTAGATTTTAATTTTTCATTTACGTCTTCGTGCGAATCAAAAATTTAAAAGTTTTGCTTGAACAAGTGATTTGATAATTTTGCTATGTGTAATACCTTTAACTAGGAAAAGCTTTGAAAAACCTCTCTTGAAATTTCAACGGAGTTGTATGAAATAAACAATTACTTAAAATATTTGCGAATCATGCAAAAGAATGATATCGAGCCCTAACCGCCCAAGAAAACGTAAGGGAGATTTTTTTTTTCAAAATATTCTGCTTGGTGCAGAAATATTTCCAGAGCAACTAAGCACCCGACGGCTTAACCAACTGGAATATTTTCCCACGGACTTTTGACCATAACAATGAAGAAAAAATACTGTCCTGGTCCGAAAACCACCAATATTGGACTGTAGGTAACGGGATAAAGGTAATTTTTTTATATGAATAGGAATAAATATACTCCGATCGGTGTAAAGTCTAGATGTTGGTGGAGTAATTTGAAAAAGTAATTGAATAAAGAAAATAACCAGCGTTTTAGATTCAGCCAAAACAAATTCATTCTACTTTAAAAAAAATCGGGTTGAATGACCAACATTCATACATACATATATACATACTTAGATACGTAATCAATACAAAAGGGATGCTTTGTTGCCGAAGAGACATGACTATATGTGAACTATGAACGAATAGATTTCCAATGATTTATTTCAATTTTAGCTATGTAACTATAACTCATTTCATTTTCCATAAAAAATAAACAGCTGCAAGAAAGAAGACTTCTGCAACATTTTTATGTCCGTACAATGTCTGAGAGTATGTACTAAGTAAACAAACGTCGGCAACATCGTAACAATGTTAGGAATTATTCCAAGATATCCACACATAAAAATGTGCATATGGATTTGTGCGATGCTCCCCTTTTGTTGTTTTATTTGGCACGAGTGCGCGCAGACACCACATGTAGCCGGCTTCCCGGCTAGCGAATGGACTAGAGACCGGATTTGACGCAGCGCAACAAATAGAAATGAAATTGAAATGTGCACATACATACATACAAGAGAAGTAGTAGTAAAAGTTGTTGTACAATGTATACAAACATATGTTTTAGATTTCAGTTTTATGGAGCTCAAGAGAAGAGCTGCCTGGCATCATTTGCTTCAATTAGCAAAGTCCAAAAATAGTTGATTGTTTTGCCAATTAATTTGCAACTTGCGTACTATGTATTATGTACAAAGATGTAGGAATTTAAATATGCATGAAGAACGCACAAATTGCTTTGCAATTCAAATCGAATTTGGGGTGCAGTATGGACTTAGGAATGTGCGCGTAATATTCAAATAAGATGTTATATATGTAAAAAAATTTTAATAACCATTTTAAATCTTCTTAAAAGGTTTTTAAAAACGCAATCTAAAAGCAAATTATTCGATAGTCTCGAAAACGTTTTTCGTTTTTTTGTTTTCGGTGAAAGCATCGTAAATAAACAATTTTCAACATTCAATGTTGCATGTGGAAATACATAAAACACCTGTAAACACTTTTCATTAACATATCAACATAAAAATAAAACAACCGCGAAAATTCCATTGTACACATAAATATGAGCGTGTGGAGGATGAGCATTAGCAATAAATAAGTAAAAAATAAACAATGATTCCAACGAAAAAAAAGGAAATGTAGTTATTGTTCAATTTCAATGCCAAGTACAGCGGTGGAGAATACATTATGATGTCATAAATTGAACTCAAAAGAAACTACGACTCTCCAATGGGGGATCGGCCTTCAACACATGCTCATGTGAACAATTGATCTCCAGAACACTCGGTTATTACACCCAAGAGGATCAATTTACTTGAGTAACATTTTGATCCTAAGCTTTTTAAACAAATGAAACTATGCCAGTGAGGCAAGTAACAATCGATAAGCAGTATCCGTTTTGGTAAAAACATTTTTTTTCACTGTCATACTTTTCACCAGGTGATGATTAGGCTAGAAATTGACGGCGGAAGGTGAACCACGCCAAGATCCTGCTAGTTATGTTCGTTAACATTTTCTGCTTCTCAGCGCATACATACCTCAGCTACTCGCAATAAATTATTTGCAAGGAAGGTCATTCAAAGACAATGACACCATTTGTAACTAAATAAGTTTATAATTCCAAACAGAAGTTTCAACTTTAAAGATGTTTTACCTAC